TGAAAGATCAAGCCGGAAATGATGTGTTGGATTTGCCATGTCACATTCACACCAAAAAGGATGGAGAAGGCAATCTGATTTATCCTAAGCATACCACCCGACAGTGTCGGGTTCTGATCGAAAGTACGGCACCATCGCGATCTGCACACGTTCGGCTTGGTGACGTCCCACAAACTCACGATCCAGTAGAGTATCGAGAGAGAGCTTCGTCAGCACGACGGTATGATGACGGTGATGATGATGCTACCGGAACAGGGCTTCGCCTAAGCACCGCTACGATATGACCGAGGTGGATTATGGTGGAGGGGGCACCGCACACGGCTAGAAACAATCAACTTGTGTATTCGAGGGTGCCCCTGCCCCCGTATATAAAGGAGCAAGGGAGGAGGCCGGCTGGCCCTAGGGGTGCGCCAGGAGAGGAGTCCTCCTCCTCGTAGGAGTAGGACTCCCCTTTCCTACTCCTACTAGGAGGGGGAAAGGAAGGAGGAGAGGGAGAAGGAAATGGGGGCGCCCCCCCCTTCCCTAGTCCAATTCGGACTAGAGGGGGAGGCGGTGCGCGACCTTCCCTGGCCGGCCCTCTCTCTCTCCACTAAGGCCCATGTGGCCCATTAGTTCTCCCGGGGGGGGGGGGGTTCCGGTAACCCTCCGGTACTCCGGTTTTCTCCAAAATCACCCGGAACACTTCCGGTGTCTGAATATAGCTGTCCAATATATCAATCTTTATGTCTCGATCATTTTGAGACTCCTCTTCATGTCCGTGATCACATCCGGGACTCTGAACTACCTTCGGTACATCAAAACACATAAACTCATAAATACCGATCGTCATCGAATGTTAAGCGTGCGGACCCTACGGGTTCGAGAACTATGTAGACATGACCGAGACACGTCTCCGGTCAATAACCAATACCGGAACCCGGATGTTCATATTGGCTCCCACATATTCTACAAAGATCTTTATCGATCCAACCGAATAACAACATACGTTGTTCCCTTTGTCATCGGTATGTTGCCCGAGATTCGATCACCGGTATCTCAATACCTAGTTCAATCACGTTACTGGCAAGTCTCTTTACTTGTTCTGTAATGCTACATCCCGTAACTAAATCATTAGCTACATTGATTGCAAGGCTTATAGTGATGTACATTACCGAGAGGGCCCAGAGATACCTCTCCGACAATCGGAGTGACAAATCCTAATCTTGATCTATGCCGACTCAACAAACACCATCGGAGACACCTGTAGAGCACCTTTTATAATCACCCAGTTACGTTGTGACATTTGGTAGCACACAAAGTGTTCCTACGGTACTCAGGAGTTGCATGATCTCATAGTCATAGGAACATGTATAAGTTATGGAGAAAGCAATATCAAGAAACTAAACGATCATCGTGCTAAGCTAACGGATGGGTCAAGTCAATCACATCATTCTTTAATGATGTGATCTCATTAATCAAATGACAACTCACGTCTATGGTTAAGAAACATAACCATCATTGATTCAACGAGCTAGTCAAGTAGAGGCAAACTAGTGACACTCCGTTTCTCTATGTATTCACACGTGTACTAAGTTTCCGGTTAATACAATTCTAGCATGAATAATAAACATTTATCATGATATAAGGAAATATAAACAACAACTTTATTATTGCCTCTAGGGCATATTTCCTTCAGAAGCCTCGCCACCGTACTGGTGATGATATACTTCAAATGGTCAAGGATTTAAAAGTAATCTTTGGAAAGGGTCCTGGCGGAAAATCTGTTCCGAATGACACTAACAGACACACACCCATGTGGAAGAAAAAAATCTATATTTTGGGACCTACCCTATTGGAAAGACGTAGAGGTCGGCTTTGCAATCAACGTGATGCACGTGACGAAGAATCTTTGCGGGAACCTGCTAGGCTTCTTGGGCGTGTATCGGAAGACAAAAGATACACCGGAGGCACGGGAGGACCAGCAACATATGCATAAAAAAGACGGCATGCATCCAAAGCAGTATCAAGGTCCTGCCAGCTACACTCTTACCAAAGAAGAGAAGGAAATCTTCTTTGAATGCCTGCTCCGTATGAAGGTACCGTCTGACTTCTTGTCGAGTATAAAGGGAATAATAAATATGGCAGATAAAAAGTTTCAGAACCTAAAGTCTCATGGCTGCCATGTGATTATGATGCAACTGCTTCCGGTTGCATTAAGGGGGCTTCTATTGGAAAAGTTCGATTAGCCATTGTGAAGCTATGTGCATTCCTCAATGCAATCTCTCAGTAGGTAATCGATCCAGAAATTCTACCATGGTTACAGAATGATTTGGTGCAATGTCTTGTTAGTTTCGAGTTGGTGTTCCCGCCATCCTTCTTCAATATCATGGCGCACGTCCTAATTCACCTAATCGACGAGATTGCCGTTATGGGTCCTGTATTTCTACATAATATGTTCCCCTTTGAAAGGTTCATGGGAGTCTTAAAGAAATATGTTCATAACCGTGCTAGGCCAGAAGGAAGCATCTCCAAGGGCCATGAAACAGAGGAGGTCATTGAGTTCTGTGTTGACTTTATTCCTGACCTTAAGACGAAAGGTGTTCCCGAATCTCGCCATGAGGGCAGACTGGGTGGAAAAGGCATGCTAGGAAAGGATTCAGTGATATGTATGGACGGGCATTCTTGGGCACAAGCACACTACATAGTTCTACAAAATTTCGCCTTGGTGGCTCCGTATATCGAGGAACACAAGAATATTCTACGCTCCAAACACCCGGAGCTGCCTGACGACTGGATTACACGTGAACACACGGGGACTTTCGGCGGTTGGTTGCAAACACGTCTCATGCATGACGACACTGTTGCAGATTAGCTGCACTTGCTGGCCAAATTACCATCTTCGACTATATTGACTTTCAAAGGGTATGAGATAAATGGGAATACTACACGATCGCCCAACATAAAAAGAGAACCAACCAAGACAGTGGTGTCCGCTTTGATGCAGCAAATACCAATAGGCCAAAGGACACATTATGGTTACATAGAGGAGATATGGAAACTTGAATATGAACGTGATTTCAAGGTCCATTTGTTTCGGTGCAAATGGGTCAATCTGACATGAGGTGGCGTAAAGGAAGACCCGTGGTACAGAATGATAACAGTGGATCTCAACAATCTTGGGAACACACAGACGAACCATTCGTCCTAGCCAATGATGTGGCGCACGATTTCTATGTGAAGGACATGTCTATGAAGCCGAGAAAAAGAAAAGATAAGGAAGCGAATACATCATACGATGAGCCAAAGCTCCACGTAGTTCCTTCAGGAAAAAAACATTATGGGAGTGGAGGCCAAGACAGACATGTCAGGAGATTGTGAAAAGTTTCATGAAATTGCTCCCTTCACAGTGAAGATTGACCCAAGCATCCTGTTAAATGATGAAGATTGTCCATGGTTACGGCGCAAAGGGACACGCAAAGAAAAAGTTTTATACCCCCAAGATCCCACTCTGGGATGTGACCGGTTTCACCGCCATCACTTTCTTCTTTAGTGAGTTCCCAGACTTATCTGGAAAGTCCCACTTTGGACAAACCGGAGGAAATCTTTGTAATAGTTAGGGTATATATGTGTTTTCACATTTGAAACGCAAAAAAACATTATGTAGGAGTTAATCAATGCAATTATGTCCAAACAAAACATATCGTCGGTTGCCATCAGGAGACAAATACACCAACTACGCCAAACCTTTCTTGGAGGAGATGCCAAGTCTTCGGGGATTTCCCTCTGGAGTACGAAATCTTCTATAGTCCGGCCTTCCTCAACTGAATCTGGAGTGGCCTACCAGCCCGGCCCATGAGACATAGGTCGGCAGCCCTAGGACCCCTTAGTACAGGACACCCTCAAGGTGGGCGTCATCTGATTTTAAAGGAGAGGGCATCAATGAGAAATGTTTCGCTACAGGGGAAAATCGAGAGGAGGGGAGGGTCTAACATAAAAAGAGAAGGGTGTGTCGTGGGGTGTGATTTTTGTGATCATATGTTGAAGGTAATATGGTGGATAGTCCAGACAACCACATTTCTACCTGACATATGAGCTGGATTTGAGAGAGCCCGGAGTATTTAGACGGTTGGATTTTGGGGAGTCCGCTAGCACCCGTTTGATGTCCGAACACGTCCGGACATGTGACGTAGAAATAAATTTTGACCTTAGAAACAACCTTAATCATTTGTTTGATTCATTTATATGCATTGTAGTCCGTGACAATGCACGGGCGTTCTACTAGTACACAATAGAGTCAAACATACTACTGAAAAGCTATAAATAAATACAGTTGCACATCTGTGAAAACAAATGTGCAATTTTACAGTAATAATTGGAGAAAATCAATCGAAATTGCTAAAAAAAAGCTGGCTAGAACGAAAGTTCCACTGGACTCATTAGAAGCAAATAATTTTCAGTAATTTTATTATTGCTGACATGACAAATGACTGTCCCGTGCATATGTACGGGTTGAGGACCAAATGACTGTCCCGTGCAAATGTGACCACTTGATTTTATTTCCACTCAAATAATAACTAGATACCCTTGGGAAAATATCAGGTGATATCAATCCTCAAATACTACCATCCTACCAACTTACAAAAATTGAAATTTAAACATGTCGAAAAGTTCTGAAAAAATCACAGATGTTCACAACACATATGTTGACAATCGCTACAAAATTCAGATCAAAATTCGACATAGACATAGAGAAACAAAAAAGACAAATCCATTATGAATAGTGTCAGAAGAAGACAAAAGCAAAAATGTCACTATTCACATCTGAATTTGTCCTTTTGTTTACCATGTGTATTTTGAATTTTGATCCTAATTTTTAGGGGTTGTCGACATTTGTGTTGTCAATATCCATGATTTTTTTAGAATTTTTTGACATGTTTAAATTTGAAATTTGTAAGATGATAGCATGGTAGCATGTAAGGGTTGGTACCACCTGATACCCATGATGACCAGCTGGTTTCTAATTAATCAAATAATTTGATACCTTTATTCCGTTTAATTCCTTTGCCCACATCCTCACACTTCTTGACGTGGTGAGACAGCTCTTCCTTGTTCACTGCCTTCCCCTGGCACTCAACATCGGGCGTCATGTGGAAGCACGGCTCCATGGACACGGCGCGCACGCACGGCGGCTCAGGCACTTTGCCGTCTTTCGGGATCATTAGCATCGTCGGCCGCAGTCCGGCGAGGCTGCTGCTCATGTAGCCGAACGTGGATATCCCTGTGGTGAGCAGCACGTTAGAGAAGCTGAGCAGGAAGATCTCGGCGAGCGCCTTCTGGTTGTGCGACCGTTGCCCCATTATCTGCTGCTCCTCGTGGCTCGGCTGGAACACCCCCACCATGCCCCCGCCCTTGGCCGCGTGCTCGTAGTACGTCGACTTGATCCTGTCGTAGTAGTCTGCTTGCAGCGACGCGATCAAGATGGCCTTGGATTTGGAGCCGCCATGGCTACTAGCGCTCGCCGCGGCGTCGCCATTGACGACCTCCGGCAGTATGTGCTCCTGTCGCGAGCACGCCATGATTTGGTTGTACATGTCGTCGACGGGGATGGATGCCCAGGAGAAAATCCTGATCTGCACGCCGATCCTCTCCTCCGCCTGGGCCATGTAGGTGTGGTAGTACCTGGCAAGGTTTTGGTTACCGAATGAGGCATTTTCACCGAGGGGGACTGATAAACGCGGTTACCACGGTTACCGAGAATATTTTGAACGAATTTTACAGTTGAATTTTGAATTCAAATAAGTGAATGAACGAACATTTGAACCAGAGTCTTATCAAAACAGGAACTATTGCTATCAACACGCCAGAACCAACTCTCATAGCATTAATTAGATCCTACATACTTTACTATAAATTGAGTGTTTAAATTCAAAAAATTCAAAAAAATAGTATTTTTTTGCTTGGTACGGGGATTCACCGAGGGGCACGGAAATATGCGGTAACCATGGAAAATCTTGAAATTTCGACCGGTAACCAAAACCTTGGTACCCGGTGATCATGCCCCAAACGAAGTTGGACGGGTGGAGGAGGTAACGGCCGAGAAGATGCGACACGCTCTCCTTGGCTGGGAACAGCCTCCGGAGCTCACCTTCGAATTCGGCCATGTCGTACAGCGCCGGCACGAAATAGTAGTCACTCTGCAGCAGCAGCCAGTTCACCTTGGCCAGTACGAGCTGGTCGTCGTTGCAGTAGAAGAGCCGGTCCGAGCGCCGGAGGTCGTGCGCCAGGTGCAGGTACACGTACGGCGGTACCGATTGCGCCGTCGCCTTGGTCGGGTCGTTGTCGATTTTCTTGCCGGCGAGGAGGTTCCCGTACGACTGGTTGGAGCGCACCCCGAGCCGGGATATGTCGGCGACGGGGAACTCCGGCGGGAGCACCCAGGTCGCATTCACACCGGGGAACGGCTCGCAGAATAGGTCGGTGAAGTCGTCCGTGGAGTGTACGAGGAGGACGCGGTCGGTGAGGAGTGCGTAGAGGAACGTGCTGATCAGCGACAGCATCCGATTGCCGAGGCCATTGTAGGGGATCCACACGAGGTAGTTGCACTCCTTGTCCTCCTTGCTGCTGCTGCTGCCGGACCGGAGGTGATCGACGGACTTGGCGTACGGCGGCGTGCCGGGGCCGCACCTGCTGTGCAGCGCCTCGTAGTCGCGCAGCTTCTGGAGGAGGTGCGGCGAAGGCGCGTACGGTGAGCGCTTGTAGTAATGCGGGGACTGGTAGCGGCTCAGGCACGCGCATCGGTCAAAGCCCGGCGAGAGAAGGCTGCCAAAGAGCTCGTCTGCGCCGGCGGCGCTCTGACGAGAGACGTTCAGTAATCCTGAGGAATTATCAAATACGATCGAGAACTTGTAATGTTTACCAATTTGATGTGAGACGATCAAGATGATTAAATTCGATCAAGCAAGCATGAGCAGGCTCGAGTTGTGGGGATCGGTAAAAGCGGACGACTAATTTGCACCTAATCATGGGTATATGCAAATCAAGCAAGAGAGCTTGCTTGTACCTCCACCCATCGCGGTCAGCTGGGCGGCGTTCTGCCACACGGCCAGCGCACCCGGCCACCGGCCGAAGAGGAGCACCATTAACGGCATCGTAAACAGGCACACGATGAGCACCACGCCCACCCTGCCCATCCTATTCCTCCTCCTCACCGAGCACGCCGCGTCCGCCACCGGATGATCTTCCGCCTTCTTGTTGCCACCCATGTCCATCATCTCCCTAGCACAACCACACATATAGGTCACCCGATCGAGCCGCGAAATCCCGATGGTTTTATAAAGATCTGTAAGCTTGTCATGGTACTTTCCTCAAGATTCGTGCTATTTTTTTTTTCCTTGTGTCATGGTTTCTTAGGCTGATTTTTTGACTTGCCCTTATTGGACAAGTTGATTTTTCTGAAGCTGAATTTTTTACTTGTTCGATTTTTTCTTAGGCTGATTTTTTTTAACATAGTACAGACACAAGCGCTCATACATATGCGCATACACTCACCCTTATGAATGCACACATGCACACCCTACCCCTATGAACATCTCCAAAAGATTGAGCCGACATTTCATCTTGAGATTTACGAAGTCACCGGAGGAGCCTCGTCGTCGACGGGAACGTCTTCTTCCACTGAAAGTGCGTCACCGGAAATCTTGAAATAATCCAGGAATAATGCGAGTATCAGAATTTGAACCCTGGTGGGCTAGAGATACCACTGTCCTTCTAACCATCCAACCACAGGTTGATTCGCCTTAGGCCGAATTTCTGACTTTGCCCTGCTTAGGGTAAGTCAATTTTTCTATTCGGCTTGAAGCCCTTTAGCCATTGTCTTTATTTGTTTGTTTGTGATTTTACTTTTCTTTTTTCCTTTTTATAGTCGGTTTTTCTTTCCTCTACACGAATATTTTTGACATGTTGGATAAGTGGAAATGTATACGCGCAAGTACTTCATGCTATATGTATGAGTTACACTAGAGTGTGAAAATTGCACTGTTATATGCTTATTCTTTGCATACTGAAAAAGTGCAACTTCAGCGCAATGTGTGAATTATTTTTTATTTTCTTTCTTCTTAAATGGTAATAATAATGCCAACAATTCATTCTTTTATAGTAAAATTTATTATTTTGATTATGTTTCGGTTTTAATTTAATTTTATTTTTTAAAAAGATAATACCAAAGTCACTAATTCATTCTTTGTTAAAAAACTTCATTATTTTGATTTTGTTTTAGATTTTACTTTATATTCTCTCTTCCTTAATGGTAATACCAATGCCACTAATTCATTCCTTCTTACACAACTTCTTTCTTAGTGAAAGTTTCACTGTTATATTTATATGTTTATTCTTGCATATTGTAAGAAAAATGTCATTTCCATGTAAATTGTGTATCAATTTTTTCATTATTTATTTTAAATTTCTTTATTCTTAGGGGGGAATATGCATGCACTAATTTATATACTGATTTTCTTCCAGTTTATATTTCATTTTCTTTCTTTCTTCCTTAGAAAACTTCATTTTTTTTGTTTTAGTTTATATTTCATCTCAATTATTCTTTAAGGTGCTACCAATGCATTAATTCATTCCTTCTTAGAGAGCTTCTTTTTTGTGAAAATTTTCACTATTATATGATTATTCTTGCATATTACTCCCTCCGTCCCAAAATGAGCGACTCCCTATTATATGATTATATTTTGGAATGGACGGAGTATAAAACACCACAATTTTTGTGTAAATTTTATGCAAAATTTTTCATATATTTTAAAAGGCTAATACCAATGCCATTAATTCCTTCTTTCTTAGAAAACTTCATTATTTAGATTATTTTATAGTTTTATTTTAATTTATTTGTTATTTAAGGACAATACAAATGTCACTAATTCATTTCTTCGTAAGAAACCAATTAGAAAATGCACTATGTGTTTATTTCTGCATATTATAAAAAAGTGTAATTTTGTACAGTTTTTTTTGCATTTCTTTTGAAAAAGATTTCTTTTTCCTAAAGGGTATTACCAATGTTAGTAATTTATTCCTTCTGAGAGAAAAATCGTGTGTGAAAATTTCAGTATTATATACTTGTTCTTGCATCTTATGAAATTTCTGTGTAAAATTTATGCAAAATTTATCATTATTTGCTTTTTTTTCTTCTTAAATGGTAATACTAATGTCCTAATTCCTTCTTACTTAGAAAACTGCATTATTTGCTCTGAATTTGTTTATATTTTATTATCTTTCTTCTTGAAGCGTACTAACATGTCACTAATTCATATTTTCGTAAGAAACCATTTTTTAAATTCCACTGTGTGATTATTCTTGCATACTATAAATACACAAATTCTTGGTAAGTTGTGTGCGAATTGTATCATTTTGTTTAATTAAAATTGTTTATTAATAAAGGTTATCATAGTATCACTAATTTGTTCTTCCTTTGAAAACTGCATTATTTTCATTAAAGGGTAATAACTATATCAATAATAGAACACATCCCATTGCCCATGCAGGGAATCTCTGCGATATGGCAATGATGGTGACGTTCCGTGGACTGATCAGCCGTTCCAATCCAAATCCGTGCGTCCTCTACACAATTACTTCAGTACATGTGCATACATAATGGGTTGGAGAGCGAGAGATGTGGAATGCTATAATTGATAAGTACTATGTAGATGCGTGACAGGCCGGGTCGGCGCATGTACGCATCGGCATCAGTCCTTCTCATCAGTACCTAGTTGTACTAATCATGACAGTACTCCCTCTGATCCTTTTTACTTTGTGTATTAGATTTGTGTCAAATGAAACATTATAAAATTTGATCAAACATATATTAAAACAAAACAACACTAGGAAGAAACCTAATAGTGGAGCGGGTTAAACTGATAGTAGTAGCGTAAGGGCCCGCACTACTACTACCAGGGTATAGGTAACAGGTAGTAGTAGCGCAGGTGCCACGTGTGCTACCTCTGTATAGTAGTAGCGTGGGCCCTGTGATAATACTACCTTAAAATGTGCGGTATTGCTATTAATTTCAACATTTTTTTCTTCTTCTGCATATTTACACAATATTTATACAACAATTATACATGTTTTTATATAGTCCAACATATACATAAAACATTTAAATTGTATGATACAACAATGTCTCATCATCATCACCATCGTAGTGATCAACATTGTCTCATCATCATCGAAATAGCGATACAAGTTTTTACAAGTCTCGAATACAACTACATGATCAAATACACATGTTTCATCATCGATCTAAACTATGGTCACATACAACAGAGAAGCGATCATGGTGAGCAAGAAAGGGATTAGGAAGTAGTTCTTCACCCGGTTCTTCTTCCTCTCTCCCACCAGCGTGAACTTCAAGTAACTAGCTTCTGCTTCACTTTTACTTTCAAACTCTTTGTGGTTGTTGCCCGAGAAGCGATCCACTTGGGCCTAACATTCTGACCACTCGCCGTTGACTCCTGAAACTCTCCCTCTGTACATGGCATACCACTTCGTCATCATCTATATCCCTAACACATGTGTCATAAGCGAATTCATAAATAATATGCAACATAATACTTAACTAACTCCAAAAGAAAGAGTTAAAATGTTAGCAAATAGAAGCAACATAGTA